ATCAGGTCGCAACAAGCTGCCTCAGACTTCAAGGACTCTTCGGAGGATCCTTGCTGATCCCAGCAAGACTGTTCTTTGAAGTGCTGTCAATTCTATTCCAGCATTTATGTTTTTCAGGTAGCCCTCCAGTCTCTTCGGAATAGCAACCAGTGCTCCGATAACAACAAGGACAACTTTTACACTCTTCATCTTCCACAGCTCTTTAATATCAATTGCTAGATCAAGATACTTGTTGATCTTTTCCTCATTTTTGGTGTCTACCCTTCAGTCACTAGGATATGCAATGTCGATGATGAGACAATTTCTGTTCCCTCTTTGTCCACAAACACGATCCCGGGGTGAACACTGATTGTGACACAGTTTCTTATAAGTCTGTATTATAGGAAAATCCCGAAGTATAATTCTCATTATCCTCAACACTCTTGGGAATATGATCACACCACTTGTCACTCCTTTCTTATCCATGTTGTTTGCACAAATCTGCTCCATCGTGTCTCTGTTTATATTCTTTCTGTGCCAAATTTGGGTATTCGGATAACAAGTGACTTACTGTCTCATCTTTTTGTAAGCACATACGGCACAGAGAGACATCTGTGAGTTATCTATCTTAGCTTTGATTGCATTAGTTCTTAGCTGAATAAGAAACCAATAACTAACTAGCTTTAAAAGAAAAGACCCACAAGGTAGCAAAGGACAGTTCTTCCTCGTGTATCTGACAAGGTAATTGAACACTCGAACATAAAATGCGTATCCACAAGCGGGTATGTAATATTCTGTTTATTATATAAACACTGATGGCGAGATGACTGAAGCTGCCATGACAACCGTGATATCTTCACATGTACGTGAAGGATAAAAATTGTATCTTCACTGGATACCAAAATTTTCGTCATTGGAAAAATCCTTGTATTTCATTGGTGTCTATATAATATTATTAAAAACTGAATCATTTGATAATGCAGTTCTAGCATTTTGATTGGTTTAGCCATTATGGTATATGAGCTATTATACCATGCTCTCCATATATGGTCGGTGTAAGCGTCAGTTTAAAAGTGGAAGCTAGCTGAGATTTTTTGTCGCGAAGGTTAGAACGGCGCCCGAAGCAAATTGTTTTAATTCATTTCTTAGAATACTAGAAATGCAATTTCATCGAAAAAACAAAAGACAGAAACAAACAAAAAAGCCACAAGAGCTTGTTTGAAAGTTTGTCGAAAAACACATGAAAATACATGGAACTAAAGTACCTTTACCAGCTACGATAATGTTGTTTCTTCATGATCGCGAAGCCATTCGCGATCTAATCACTCGCCGATAGATAACTGCGGCTTGTTTATCCGACATCCACAATATAAATCACAAGCGACCAGCTACAAATACAGGCTATGCAGCCATTCACTACAGCAATCGAAGCGGCAGTATAGCTCCTGTTCTTATTCTGCAAAACCAGCTTGTGGCTTCAAACAACTTCATAGATCTTCATAACAAGCGACCGAGGTAATAGTTTTTCTCCGTGGTCTTACTTTTGTAACTGCACCGAAAATCAAAATTCACAGTAATTTCGACGGCTGTCACTTAAAAATTCTTTTCCTTCACATTATCTGCCAGGTTTTTTTTAGCTGTCCTGCTGTGTAAAATCCTAGAATCCTGATGAGTTTTTAAATATGTTCATCGCTACAATGTTTTGATTTTTCATTCATGCAGTCCAGGCGAGTCCGTTCGCCCGTTGACAGTTTTCATAGACGTGTGACATGTGAATAGCGGAAGTCCCTTAACTCTTTTCCGGTTTGTTCTAACAAAATTTAATGTCGGGGAGATTCAACGAGATTTTTTGGGCGTTTTTAATAAAACAATTGTTCCACTCGCGCTTGTTGGATAGGAGATGATTATAGCCAACGAGGCGCGAAGCGCCGAGTTGGCTATCTATCATCTCATATCCAACGCGCCCTCGTGGAATAATTGTTAAATAGACTGCAAAACAGTCCTTATTTTTGCGTATTCAAGTACGCGTGAGCAGTCAAACAAAAGGTCTGGAACGAGGCTGAAGACAGAGAGCGAGACTGGGGAAAGATGGGAGAGCGCCGCTCTGCTGAGCGGGAGGTCGCGGGCTCGAACTTTGGCCGGACCAACACTCAGCTGTAAATAGCTGAGAAGGAAGAGCTGCCTCAATAATAACATC